CACTGTATCTGGTCATCTTGCCCGCTCCCAATCTCACCTACGACTTAAAAGCTGCCAATACAAATTTGGCAATAAATATTTCATTCATTTCTCTGGGCTAAAAATGGCCAATATTCAAGTTTGAAAGTCAAACATCATGAGGCTTACAATGCCTGTTAAGAGGAAAGATAGACTTGTAAACTATGATTTCTCAGAACCTAATCCAAAGCCAAATTTGTAATAGAAAGGCTTCTTCTTGGCTCAGGTTCAAGTAAAATGATAAAAGAACACATTAGTATGTGCAGTGGAAATATTGAAGATCACTTAAAACTTAGTGAGTGGTATCCTCCCACCACTACAGAAATACTGTCGACTGGGTACTCCAGGAAATGATATGAAAAAACCTGGAAAAGGGGGTGGATCCTCTTTTAAAAAAGCCTATTCAACCATAGTAGCTTTGCATCAATTGGCCTGAGTATCTGAAGTTAAATAAATAAATTTAAGAAGAAATACTACTTAGAGTGTTTCATCTTTGCCTAAAGAAGTACCACAATTGCAATGACTTATTCAGTGGAATGTTTTCTTTTTCTTCTTTTACTTGTGGGCACCTAGTAATGTATGGGATAAAACTGTGATCAGATATTTTTATCAGCATTTCCTGATCAGTAGAAACTCCTGATGGGAAAACCTCCTCTAAGCAAAATTTTAGCAGGAACCTGGCAGGACATTTAAGTTCCACTTACCCCTTAAACTCCAATCTGCAAAAGTGACTTGATCAGCTGAGGACATGCAGCGCCTCACTGAGATGTATGGATGAAACTCAGGCCCCAGTGAAGTCAGTTTGAGCCTAGTGATGCCTGGATTCTACTGTGGCCCTTCTTGCAGTTGCTCTCAGCACCCCTCCCTAGATCAATTTGTAATAGGGTTCTTGAATTTCAGTAAATCATCTTTTTGGAGGCCCTTTAATCAGGAGTGAATGTCATACAACAGATGCTACAATATCTCTACAAAGATACTACTTACTATGACAGTTTACAGGGATGGTGAGGCCACAGATGACTGCAAAGCAAATATTCACTACAGTTTTATTCCAGAGGTAAAATGGTGGGAAGATGCTCCACACAATCTTTCAAATTTAAGAAAAGATTTTAATGTTTTAGATCTAAGTAAGTACATAAATATAACTAAGGAGACTTTTTATCTATATGACTCTCCAACTTGATAATTGGTCAAAACACCCCTACACACCCCCATGTGTGTACTTGTATCTTTCCAGTAGTAATACACCCACTATGACCCTCACTAGAACTGTGACCTCAATAGATTTTTGAAAATTTTAGAATATTTATGTGACTTGAGAATACTACCTCCAGTTTACTTCAGATGAGTATTTGAGCATATTTGAGCAGAGAAGTATGTCATGGTAGAGCTTTTAAATATTTTGAACAGGCTTTGTAGACAAATTACTAAAGATTTTTCTTTAATAAAGCAGAGTGGCATGCTATCGAAAGGCACAAATACATTTCCATTATCCAGTCTAGGAAACAGAAAAATGGCATGATTATTATACTACAGTTTGATGATTGGCACTTAAATAAATAATCAAAGTAATTACCACCGTAAAAGGAAAGCCACTTTTTTTGATAAACATCAATGCAGAGGCTGAAGACAGCAGGTGGAATTCACTATACCAGGCACTGTTGTCAAACAGCCTTTGTAGATGACTGTCATTGTGTGATTATGTTGTACATATCTATGAAGAGATAGTAGGCCCAATCTTGCAAGGTCTCTTATGAAAGTACATCCATCCTCCTGCTCACATCAACCCCACTGGTGTCAGTGGGGTGGCATATGAAGGGTGGGTTCAGCCACACTAATTTCTTGCAAGACTGTGGCCTAAATAAATTAATCTTTGTCACAATAGACATTAGCATCACCAGAATATTAAATATTTTTGCAACCACAAAAAAATTATAAAAGTCAAAAAAACCCAAATAAACAAACAAAAACAGACACCCCCCCCCCCCCCCAGAGCACTTTTGTATACTAAATTGTTAAACACTAATTAAAACTTTTCTTACTGTTATGGTAAATCAGAATGCAGGTCTACTAAAAAAATTAACAAGAAGCTCAAAGTCATTTTACTTGATTTTACTCCTTATTTTTTGTTGAAAAGAGATTGTCACTGCCACATTCCATATCATTAATTAATTCAATAGCTCCCTCCCACCCTTGTTCCTAGAGTATGTTAGTGTAACAATTCAGATTACTTTTACAAATAGTTATATTTTGTCAACTCTTCTGACATTTCATACTAACACTTAAAATTACTTTTAGACAGAAAAAGTGACATTTATACAGATTTTTTTTCTTTTTAGTCTAGAATAGTAAAAGAAAGTAAAGAAATGATGTTATTCCACTCTACACGTATCTTACAAATGTCTATGCGCTGTCCCTCATTTTGAAATATTTTCACATATCAGTGTTTTTAAGCATTCTTTCATAGTTATAGCGTGGCTTTCTCCTGCAGCGTAGTCAAAGCACAAGAGATAACAGACCAAATGGCATGCCTGGACAGTCCATCAGTAATTTAGAACTGTTTAATTCTCAGCCTTCACATAGGCCAGCTGGCAGGAGACTTAACAGCAGGAAGAAAATAAATACTCCTGGAAAAAAAAAAACTTTTCACTTGTAATCCAATGTAGTGGGAAATGCTTTTGCTTCCAATATTGAAATAGTTTTGCGGCACATTTTACTTGTAAAAAGCATCACAGACATATCGATAATAAATGTGCTGACAGGACCTCTTAAATTTTCTGATTCCTTCACACTGTAATTAGAGGCCATATTAGAAAGCAAACAAACAAACAAAAAACCAACAAAATGAACCCCCAACCCTGAATATATAGCTGTTAGGCTATAAAGTTTTTTTGTGTAAATCTCAAGAAGAAGTGCTAAAATTTGAAATGCATCTACAGTCGAGCCTAGATACTGTTATCTCTGCCCACATTGTATAGAAACCTTGTTGTGCAGATGATCATGCTGGATTCAGAAAAAAGCACCATTTGCCTAGCAAAGCTTGACTTATGTGAATATGCACAGCACCACCTAAGTTTATGATGACAGCCAGAAGAGGAAAGGATGTTTCCTACCTTCATCCCTGGTAAAAATACTGCATGAGATGATGCGGGCTGCCACATTATTTTCAACTGCTGGAATTTTCCAGGTCCCTTCCTTGCATTTTGATAGAAGAAAAAGCCCAGATGCTAATATATACTTCAGAGAATAATAGATTTTCATATATAAGAGACAACTGTTCCTTTTAATTACTGCTTAGGGGCAGTCCTGCTCACTGTGTACTTAGGAAGAAACAGGACTGAGATTTAATAAACACGCAGCTATTTGGTAGTACTGCCTACCCAGTAGTGGGAGTATGCGGGAACAACAGTGAGAGGTCATAAAGGAATGTCTTCATGTTTCCTTCACCCAGAAATAGTGTCTTAGTATTTAAAGAAACTTCTTTTCAGCACTTTCAAATTATTCTCCTTCATGACTTTTATCCCACATTTCTACCTCCTCTTACCCATTATTTTCACTTTGGTACTGGTTTTGTGGGAACTTGGCCTCTTATCCTAGCCACACCAGTGGTTTATTGTTGTTACTTTCTAAAGTAAGGAAAATTTGTAAAAAAAACCATAAAATGACTTGGGTTTGAAAAATAAAAATCCCCTACGTGTTAAGTATGCCCTCCTCAGCAATTTCAAATGCACTAAAGCTTGGTTAACATGAAGGTTAACCTGTCATCTTCCCCAAATTTAAGGACACTCTGTTACATTTCACTTTCACCTTTACTGCAGAAAAGTCAACCACTTTGCCATGACTTTGAAATATCAGCTAAGGGTTGATGACATCCTGTGGGAAACTGGGAAGTATAAGAACTTCAAATATGAGCAAAATTCAGATATAAGTGAGGATAGAACATGATTTACTGAGTAAAGCTACACTTAAACCTCAGGTATAACTTAGATTTGGGAAATCCATAAGGTACTCTACAATTAACTCTTTTAAATACAATTTTTCAATCTAGTTTTCTATATTGTTTATCAACCTCTTTCACAGCAAGATTTTGAAAAGTTTGGTAGGTGTGAATACACTATGCTGAAATAGAAACAAAATATATTACTCCAATTAGTGGCACCATTAAATCAATGGAAAGAAATACGAATAAATTTTGCATCAAATAAATCAAATTTCAGTGATGCATGTTAAGCAGAATAATAAATATAAACAATAAAAAAAAACAACTTAAGAAACACTAGACAGGAAAAAATGTATTTGGTCTAATACCAAATTAGCTTGTGTTTATTGTAAGGTTTCATTTAAAGCCAAGGTTATGATTAAAAAAAGTTTTATTTTCACACCTTTGCTGTCTTTCAGTTCACATGCAACCTCCAAACCTTTAATACAGTAAACCTGAATCACTGACATGGAGTCTTTCAGAGTCACACTCATGTAGTCAGGATGAGACCAATATACTGCTACAAAATAGTTAGCCAATATTATTTAAGTCTCTACGTGGCCATTATCAACTTTTTATTTTACAAAAAACCCCAGGTGAAACTACAGGTGGAGCTGGCTCTGTGTTTACTTCCAGTGATAAGTACAGCTGGAATGACTACTGAGTGTCTGCCATTGCTAAGGTCTTAAACTTTATACTGAGACTGTTTTTTCTTTAAGGGCAACCTGCACTTTTTTTTTTTTTATTATAAATGGAAACAAACATAGTAGTAGATGTCACTTTATGTATGTAGCTTGTACTGTAAGATCTGGAGAGATCTCGTATGTTGTTTGTGATTAGGGGTGCTTTATAACTGTTCTTCTAAATAGACAAACTTTATCATATAATAAATTACAGTCCTTATTCTGCATATTTTTCAAATTTATACCATGGGACTTGGTGTCAGCAAAACTACATACTAAAACCATTAACCAAAAAATAGAAAGGAACTGTAGACAGAAACTGTTTCATCATATGTACACATGTACTAACTATTCCAAGCTTAAGTTTCCCAAGAAATTAAGGTCAGCTGTAAAATTTTGGTCACGGGGTTACTTCAATCCAAATGCATTATCCAGACAGCTGTCGTTTATCTTATTATGCTTTGCTATCATCTTCTTTTGACTGGATGATGTCATTAGCAACTTTGATTTCTATGTTTTCTGCATTTAAAGCTTCTTTCCCATTCTCCTCCTTTAGGGGCAGCTTCCTATCGGAAGAAGAGAGGAATCATGGTAACACATAAATAATGCGTAAACTGGAATTTATAGCGTACATATTGCTTATACAGTTCACAGTGTTTCTAAAAACATAATTTACATAATTTATTGACAATAATGTATAATTATTTATATTATGAGGTTATTTGCTTTTGAAGAAATTCATATTAACTCTCCCCATTTCTATAAAGCCAGAAAAACCTAAATGGCACATGACAAAAACACTGCTGCTGCTCAAAATGCAGTTTCTGCAGTAAGACAAAAGAAGCAATAGAATGCAAATAAATTGACCCAAGACAGTATAGAGGTATGAGTTCCTTAGCATACTGTGAAACACTTAAAGGCAAGCCTTTTGATGAATCTAGATTATACCCTTTTTTATGTCTGTATCCAAATATAATTTATTATATTTTATATATATATATTATAATATATAATTCAATTTTATATGAAATAGGAAATCTATCATTGGAGATTATGCCAAGACACTGGTAAAGGAAAGAACTTTTTATAGCACAATGAGGTAATGGAAGTTATTTTATTACTTAGAAAATTCTAACATTTTTTTTTGCTATATCACATTATCCAGCTGCATTAATAACTTATAGCTGTTTTAAGACTAACTTAGAGAAAACTCAGAGGAGCTTTATGATCCTTAATTCCAGTGGCAACAGTGTCTCCACCCTTGCTTTACAGGAAAGACAAGCACTGATTTCATTCAAAAGGATCTGGAAAATCATTGATTCCCTGCTGCCAGTAGTTAGCTGTCAAAAAACATAAAAAAACCCCAAAAAACAAAAAACAAAAAAAACAGAAGCTGTCAAGATATGTATGGTTTACTCAGATGCTCCTGTAATAATGTCTCCTGGGCATAACTGCTGTTAATTGTGATTTCAGTTTGCATTGGCTTTCTGTTTTTAACTAGGGAATAGTATGCATATGCCTTTTTTATCCATTATAACTGGTAAATGTTTCAGTAAACTTCCACTGTGATTGCTTCTATGTCCCAAAGGCAATATACTGTTCAAAACCTGTCTAAGGAACCCCTTAGGAATGTCTTCTAATAACAGTGTTTAATAACAACAAATAAAATACTGCAATACTCAAATTCCCAGTCTTATGAAACTTACACTGTATGAAACGAACTGCTGTTTGTCTAGAGGTTAAACAGTGAGCACAACCTGTATCTCAGAGAAATAAAAGAGAAAACTAACTTGCTCTATTACAGTAAAGTATGTGGGATATATATCAGCCGTCTGGCTTTGAACACAGACAAAGATCTCTAGTAATTGCCTGTTTCACGTGGCACACCCAAAGGAAACAGATTTCAGCCCACAACACAATGCCTGAAAGAATGGAAACAGCAGAACCAACACTAGTCTATGTTTAAAAGATGATAAAACATTGAGGCAGAGGAAGCATGGCTCATGAGAAGCATTTTAGGTAAGCAGGCACCTTTGTTAGCACTTCCACCAGTATTTAAAGAAAGACTGAATTTAATCTAGTTTTATATAAAGGCAAAGTAATTTCTCAAAAAATGTTGCTGAAAGGGAAGAAATATTTAGTCAAAGTGAAAACTGGCCAATTGACAGAATATTCTGTTTTGGAGAAGTGAATTAAGAGCATGTTACAACTATTTTCAAATTAATTGAAATACGAAGATTTGTTAGAACCCTGCTGAAGGATACTAGGTATTACTGAAATCCATGTTCATGCAGTGTGATAAAATTAGCCTTGCTTTCAGTCAGCAACAAAACAACCAAACTACAGACAAATCAAATGTTTTGCAAGTTTTCCTCATCAAAAAGTCCATCCACCATTCCTTAACCTGATTGTCTTTAAAAACTTGTAGGCTTTTTTGGATATCAGGTGAAGTTATCAGTTTAGTTGTTGTTCAGCATTATCCTTCTGACTATGACAGAATTTTTGGGTTTGGAATTTTCCTCTTGTTTCAAATGTTAATTCATATTTAATCTTTAGTGCAGATTCAATCATTTTCTTCTTTTAATTAACTAAATGAAATTTAAATGTTTTAATTACACCGATTTTCCTATACCTAAGTTTTCTTTAGCTACAGCTAGTGAAATTAATTTGATGTTTTTCAGCTAGGCAGACTAATCCCTTCAAATCTTAAAGTATTTTCTAATGAAAGCCTTTTTTGAAAAAAAAAAAAGATACTAGAGAACTTTAAAAGGTTCTTTTGCTTTAATCAGATGTTGGCTGTTGTCAGTCATTAATAATATTGACTTCGCTCAGTGCTGCAAGTGGCCTAAATGAAATGCTGATATTACCCATACAAAACTTTAACTAGAGTATTTATACTTTCCTATTTTACAGGAGAATGGCTCCCAGCCCTTTTCATACTGGAATTCACCCAGCTTCATTAACACTAAGAAAAACTCAACTAACACTAAAAACACAATAATGTCAGAACTTTTACATTAATTAGCGATGCAATTAGTACCACATTTCACATGGTATTTTAATCATATCACAGAAATGTAATATGAAATGCACAGCTCAAAATGATTTCCTGCCAGCATTATTAAACCTTCTTGACTTGCAGGTGAAAGTGCTCATCTGTCATGCATGGATTCCAAACCTGGCTTTGAAATGAATCACCTCAGTTAAGATAAAACATAGACTGCTGAATAACATGCTGACCAATATAATGAAAATATTATTGTAAGATGAAGTAATCCCTTTATTAATTATTTCCCACAAATGATTAAATTGTATTTAAAGTTCTAAGTATAATTTGGTATTATTCAAAATAATTCAACTAATTATTCAAAATATTTAATCCAATTTAAACTGAAGGCTTACCTCATATACCTTTAAAACAGCTATAATTACTCAGAATGAATCCTACCATGTATGTACATTGCCTGTCTGGAATGTCCTTGAAAGTCTTCCTTCCTGCAAGCTAAGCTCTTCCATTCAAGATTCCTGCTGGTCATCCTTGCTCTGCCCATGATATGCCTAGGTTTCAGCTTCCAGCTGATAGTACCTGTTACTCACAATGTGTTTTGTTAACAAATCCTACTTGTTCTTCCTACTGAGGGACTTCCACCCTATTGCATCCTCCTTTCCTTTAGTAGCATCTCACCCGTACTTTATATTGCTTCTCTGTTTTTTCAGTTATGACCTGTGAATAAGCAGAAGGTCTTTCCATGTTCCTTTAGTACCAGTGTTCCTTCATATGTCTTGGCTGCATGATGCTCTATTTATCTTTGGTTTCCTAAGTGACTCTGTCCCGAATCTTTAGCTGGCTTCTGTACAGCTGTACCTTGGACTGCTGCCTTTTGCCACTGGTTGTTGGACAAGAATTTACCAAAAGGAAACTCATCATTATTAATATCTCTTAGTAGACCTATTCTCCCAAGGACATAATACCTATTAAACTCCTTATCAGTTGTTCCTATGCTTTAATTATTTTTTGTGCCACCCAGTGACTGATTCTTTCCCCCTCCCCCAGGAGTTTGATAAGAGTTTTGATTTTAACATACTCATAGTTCGCTCATGTCAGCTGTTCTAATGACTGGAACAAGTAGGAAGAATTGAACTGGATTTTTCCTGCTATCATGTCCCTTGCTAGATGCATCTCTCTTGTATTTGCAAGATTTGGTTCTCCAGATTGTCCTGAAGTACAAAAAAATGTGGCCCTGGCACCTTACCCACTAACATATCCGAGTCCTGCTGGACTTTTACAATGTTTACTACTACATTCCCCTGACTCCTCAGATAACTGTGGGTTCTCTAAAGTGCCCCTCATTATAAGTTCTAATATGAAGAGCAAACATATCACTAGTCATTCAACAAATTCCATAATTGTTCAATTAACACAACTTTAAAGTCTTCAAGTACAGGTTCTTTAAGGAAGTATATAGCTTATTGCACTGTTATTTTAACACAACTTCCAACCCCGTTTACTAAAAATGTCACTGACAATAACACAGACTTTCTTCTTATTAAAGGCTCTGTGGAGTTCTAGACAATGTTAAGAAAAGCAATTTTCTTGTCATTTCAGAAATAGACTTGTAAGAACATCTTCTCCTTTCAAATAACAACTGTGATTTTACCAAATAACCAACAGGTGATTTTTTAATATTATTTTTTTGACAGGCTGAGAGAGATGGGGTTGTTCAGCCTGGAAAAGAGAAAGCTCAGGGGACATTGTATAGCAGCCATTCTGTACCTAAAGGGGGCCTACAAGAAATCTAGAGGACTTTTTACAAGATCATGTAGTGACAGGACAAGGGCAAATGGTTTTAAACTGGAAGACAGAAGATTTTGATTAGATATTAAGAAGAAATTCTTCACTATGAGGGTGGTGAGGCACCGGCACAGGTTGCCCAGAGAAGTTGTGGCTGCCCCATCCCTGGCAGTGTTCAAGGCCAGATTGGATGGGGCTTGGAGCAACCTGGTCTAGTGGAAGGTGTCCCTGCCCATGGCAGAGGGGTTGGAACTAGATGATTTTTAAGGTCCCTGCCAACCCAAATCATTCTATGACTTTGTGATTCTATATTACTACAGAAGTGTCTTTGTAGCCATGACACCTTTAAGTTTTCATGAGGCAGGAGATTTTCACAACACATGAAAAGCTTTGGGCTCAAAGAAACTAGAAGCTTTCTTTAATTTCAAATCAATTGACTTTTGAGGCTCAGAAATGAAACTCTTTAGCAATCAATTAATGTCCTTTAATACCACTAGGTGGGAACTCTATAGAAAGAATGAAATTGTCAATGCCTTTGTTGAAATACTAGTTTCTCTTCCAACTGAATTTTCAGAGGAAAAAAAAAAAAGCATATCAGAAGCTCTCATTGCAATAGTAAGCTTAGGAAAATACCAGCTTGCTTGTACCCTATCACAAATGCTACTTTATCCTCCACAGAGGTTTTGAGAAGTGTTATTCAGGTACAAACACCAGGTACTCTACCCAGTTTAATTTGTTCCAGGAGCTGCAGCAGCAAAACAGAAGAGATGACCTGACCACCAGCACTTGGGATCTCCCAGCCCAAGGCTGGTCCTTGTGACTCAAGAGGCAGCCAGAGCCTGTGAGCCTTGGCAAGAACTGCTGCTGTTGTTTCTGTGCTGAGAACAGCTTTCAGGGGTAGGAAGAGGGCATGAGGAAAACAAGCAAAGTGGCTGCCCTTCACCACTATTAATCCAGTTACACCACATGGATTTAAATACTGAGCTAAGCTCCCAGTTACATGAATGAAAGCACGAATGGTCCACCCCATAAGATGCTGGGTTTCTGGAGCATGGAATCACTGTGCTCTACTTAAAGGGGGTGTGTAGGGATGTGTGTGTGTCTCAATCTAAGGCTATTTCTGAGAATCAGGATATTATTCCTGTGGAGGGGTTAATAACTGCTGGAATGTGATAAAGATCAGCTGCACCTGACTAAAAAAATCTTGGTACTCAGCCACCACTGCAGGGTCAGGAGAGCTGGATACTTGCTAACCTCCAAAGAGGTCGTAGTGTAATGATACTCTGCAGAATTGCTGCTATCATGGTGTTGTCGTCCAAAGGCTGGATAATGCCCAGATGTGGTTGTACAGCTGTACACTGCTGCAGCACACCATTCTGGTGATGCTGTTTATCTCCCTTTCAGAAAGTGTGAAGCCCAGTCCACTCTTGTAGCCAGAATGATCTTGTGTGAAACTCCAGGGAATGTCAGGCTACTTACTCTGGTTCTGTGAGGGGAGTTGTCTCATTTGGCTCATTTACAGGACTCCCATCTTCATGGTTGGTAATTCTTTCATCCTCTGTTCTCATTTCCACTATTGGCTCTTTTGATCCATCCTTCCTAAAAATTATTAAAAGAGTCTTAGTCTTATATCATCATATTAACCACATACATTGCATATAAATAATTACCAAGATCCTTTCTCTCAAAAGTCGGCGAAGAAAAGGCAGAACTAATTATCAGTGACTAACACCACTGAGACACATTTAACAGCCTGTTCCAAATTCCTTGAAGTCTTCAAAGCAGCCTGTATCTATGGTTACTTGCCTAACTCCACAAACATCATGGATTAGCATCTCAAAAGAGCATTTTGTTTATGACTAAATAATCAGATGATGGCCTCTTCATGGCAATAGATGTAAACTTTGCTAACCTAGCATAATAAATACAGGACTTGATGCCTAGTTATGCTCGAACTTTTTAGGCAGTATAAAGAGCCTTTATGTTAGTGTACACACGGCAGAACTCTAATATCCTGAGACTGTGATAATCCCAGCTGCTAAAACAGCATAAAGAGCCCTTGTGTGATAAGAATCTAGCCCCTTCTGCTTGCACTAGTAGAAGAAACTCTTTGTTTCTACGTCATATTTCCCCCACTTTAGGAACAAATGCTAGTCTTTCACATGTAAGTGAAAGAATAACTTTTGTGCTAATTGGACAATGAGTTGGAAGATGGAGCAGTACTGCCATTATGCTTTTCTTGATAATCATAGAATTGGGTTGGAAGGGACTTTTAAAGGTCATCTAGTCCAACCTAGGACTGCAATGAGCAGGGACATCTTCAACTAGATCAGGTTGTTCAGAGCTCTATCCAACCTGATTTCCAGGGATGGGGCACCGATCACTCCTCTGGGCAACCTGTTCCAGTGTTTCACCACCCTTGTTGTTAAAAAGTTTTTCCTTATGTTCAATGCAAATCTTTTTTCTTTCACTTTAAAACCATCACCCCTTGTCTCATCTCAACAGACCCTGATAAAAAGTTTGCTCCATCTTTCTTACAAGCCTCCTTTAGGTACTGGGAAGCTGCTGTAAGTTCTTCCTGGAGCTTTCTCTTCTTCAAGCTGAGCAATCCCAGCTCCCTCAGCCTGTCTTCATAGGAGAGGTGCTCCAGCCCTCTCATCATGTTCACATCCCTCCTCCAGACTTGATTTAACAGGCCCACGTCCCCCTTGTGTTGGGGGCCTCAGAGCTGAACGCAGTACTGCAGGTGGGCTCTCTCAAGAACAGAGCTGAGCAGGAGAACAACCTCCTTCAACCTTGTAGGTCGTCCTTCCTTTTGATGCAGCCCAGGACATTGACAGCTTACTGGGTTGCGAGCGCACGCTGCTGCATCATGTCCACCTTTTCATTCACCAGTATCCCCAGGTCCTTCTCTGCTCTCAGTAATATGGCTATGATATGGAAATAGCTTCTCAGTGCTACAGAAGTATTAATAATATTAGTACTAACTAACTTGCATATAATTTTAATCTTAAAAGGTAGATGAAAGGATACCCAAGATATATTTGATATTTCCAAATAAAAACCTCTTTCCATGTAAATATTTCCCCCCTTTTCCTGTCATCAGATCAGGAATTGTATCCTGGAACTTCATCAGCCACAGTCTGGAAATACAGGGTAACTGAGTTACAGATGAATAATTACTTTTATATTTAACAGACTATTACCTGGACCTGTGATGTTCTAGAAGAAGTCAGACTGCTATGTGCCATAGGAAAGAACTAAAACCTCAATTCATATCTCTCTGTTAAACAGGTTGTTACAACTCTAATAATCCAACTTCTCAGAAAGTACCTTGAAAACTCTACTGTCTTCTGGAAGATATCCTCAAGGAAAGTCTTTGTAGGTTAAAAAAAGTCTGGCACAAATAAATATGTAGGCAAGAAGTCTAAAAGATTCTGGTTATTTAAAAAAAAAAAATCAAACCAACAATCCAACCCTGCATCTGCTTCTTCACTTCTGCAAGTGAAATTCTACTTTAAGATACACAAATGGTTACAATGCTAATTTCTGTTGATGAGACACAGAACTGTCATGGTTACCTCACATCTGTCAAAAGATTACGGATTGCATAGGACTGGTGGAGGGAATAAGAAGTTCAACTTTGTTTGTTTGTACGTCTACAGTTTTACAGATGAACATAGATTATTGCATGACCAAAACTTAAAAAAGACATCATTTGCAAACAGCATTCATATAGGACTGAAGCACTGCAAAACACCTAAAAATTCCACAGAAGGGAAAGTGATCTGTAGGAAATGCATGATGTAGTTTTCGTTCCAGGTGTCTGTAGGTTACATGCATTGTACCATCTCCATTCATTACATATGGAACATAATTACTAACTCTCTATATATCCTACAATCAAAATGTAACATACAACTCTCCCATAAACCCACTCAAAAATTCAGAATGCAAACTGACATATTTAAAACGTGGAAATGTCAGTGTCTTTTAGGGAACAGCAGTTTGCATGAAGTAAATTAAAATTCTGACTCTTCAAGCCTGTCTTGAATCAGCCTCACAGTTTATTTATGCAGACTAAAGGCTGAAATAAGAACAGTACCAAATTCTAAGACAGATTGACTGAAGATCATCCCAACAAGGAAAGAAATCTAATTAAATATGGTAGTTGTTCTTGCAAAATAAGTGTCATGGAGGAATTAATGTTAAGTGACCAGGCTTAATGCTTTTCTGGGAGAGCATGGAATGTCATTTGGGTATGAAAGGAGAGAGCAAGGTATAAACTATTGTTAAATGACATTTGCAACTTTAGCTCCATAAGTTCTTCCCATTCAGGAGGTTATATACACCAATTTGTACTTGGTCACTTCTTGAATGGAAAATTAAAACATAAACTGAAGTGCTGTGCTCAACAGGAAAGAACAGCCAAGTCAGAGTCAGAAGCTTCACATCTTGATTCTATTGACCTGGACATGCTAGTTTCATGCCACAGAAAAAATACTTTCTTCTCTTACTGTAAGCTGTGGAGAATTAGGGAACATCTATTTTATGACATAACTTCAGAAGCATTATTTGATCTGGTTTTGTTCCATGGAGCTGTTTCCAAAGACTTGAGAACCCAACTAAGAAATGATTACCTAGGAAAGACATAGTCTCCTGAATCCCAATAGTCAGAACTAAAACCAGAAAAGACACAACAACAAAGCTTGATACAGCTATAAATAATGAGGGCTGCAAAATCTGATCTCCCAGGAGCTACAGCACACAGGAATTGGACCAGTAAATGTTATTTAAACCACACAAAGATATAATTCTCACAAATATTACAGTGTATGCATAAGAAATCTATGAGATGAACATAATGAGGAAATTAAGCGTTTCTTAAGTTAAAAAAAAAAGAGAGACTGTAAGTAAACCTCTTTCTGCTTACCTTTGGAAAACCCTGTAAATTCTGGGTCTTTAAAGTATAATTACTTTATGCAATCAGTACTTGATTTGTTTTGCCAGAGATCTCATTATCCACTCTTATCATTTAAGGGAACATATTTGCACATAAATGATCAGTTTATTCACATTTGTTTGATGAATTAGCCACTACATGGGTGTTTGTGAGGATCAGGACTGTTTAATCCCCACTTATGTTTAACAGTCATTGACTGTTGCTATGAAGAACAATAACGGTCCTGACTGTTTCACCCACATCCAACTCAGCACTCCTGTTTTTAAAAATCAACAATACTTTTTATTCTTAAAGTCTATGGGCAAGAAACAAGATTTTCCATCTGAGAAGAAAAACTTCACGGATCTTCTATAACACTATGTCCTTCACTCCCAGATTTACTGGCACTGCCACAACCATATGCTGAGGTTTCGGGTATTAGCAGCTCAAAGATGGATTTGTACAAATGGAGTTACAATGATCTGTTCCTCATGGACCAAAGATTTGCCTATAACTTACTGAATTGCAATCGATTTCCTTTGTGTGAAGCTGCACAAAAATGCCATCTTAAAGCGAGGTATTTTAAATGACGTTTTGTGCCTGTTTTTCTTTTAAGGCAACATTTGACCACAAACAATGCTATACATTTCAGAGGAATACTTTCCAAAGTAATAGAAACGTTTTAATAATTCCCTTTGCCATGCCACAAAATGGCCATGAAGTTAATATAAATTGGACAGCCAAGTTTCTTTTAACGAAGTTTCCAAAATATGTGATTAATACTCACAAGTAAGCGGCCTTTCCTTCTTCCAGTTCTTTGCTTTTTCCATTTGAACCACTTTTTTTCCCACAGATCCTCCTGGTGATGCACATTAGCAATCCACATTGTCGTACAAAGAAGCAGGTAACATCAGTCACAACCAGGATTAACAAAAGGGCTGCCACTCCCAGGCCAATGACAGCACCAAGTCCAAGACCATTAAAAAGAGTGTCTTGAAGGAAAGAAAATTAAAATTTATTAATAAAATTCAACCAAAACAACAGCATCTCATGAAGCTTTTAAGGTGTTGGCCAAGAAGCTAAAGGATATTTAGAAAAGAACCATTCAGAAATTAATGGAAATAAACAGTCTTGAAGATTAAGGATGTATACAACTTAAAAAAAAATCACACAAAAAAGAAAAAATTCTACATAATATTTTCCCATTGCCAAAATTCCAATATGGTCACATCTTAACATTCCAAGACTGAAATTATCAGCATGCAGCCTAAGAAAAACATTTCAAATGCTCAACATTTGATATAAGTTGATATAAGCTGTCGTTTTTTACTTTTCAAATCGAATTATCAGGGTTGCTAAGTAGAACTATGAAAGGGTTAAGAGCATGCCAAAACAGTGTTTATTCTTGTAAAGGTCATTTTCTGAATTAAAATAAAATTCAAAAGTCTTAAAAGAAGATAATTAAAGCTATTTAATCTGCCAACAGTTGCAGTCTGAAATAAATTAATATGAGGAAAACTATGGGTATTATGAAATGATTATAGGGTTAAGACCTCATTTTGTACAGTCTTGTACCTTGAAAATACATTCATACACTTCAAAATGGACATATTCCCCACCTGATCTTGTTTGCTGTATTTTTATTATGAAAGCTGATGTCTAGCTAATTTTAGTTCATTACTAATCTCAGAAAAAAATACTTCGTTTTGATGCACTGACATTTCCATAACAGAGAGTAATGCTACAGACTGTTTTGAATAGTGTCATTCGCAGAACTACTGTGTTTGTGAACTCAGATGACCCTTATATAGGAGAGAACTTGTATCTTATCAATAAACTGGGCAAAAAAAAAGACTCATTAAAGTTCATCCACACATCCAATTCAAGGTCTCAGTCTTGCTTAGAAATTGGCTAGAGACAATTGCCTTGTGTGATGCTATGTTCTGAGCAAACTCCTCAGAGGAATGGAACTGGTTTTTGTGCACGCTGATTGCTCACTTAGTGTTACTATGCCTTGATTGACGCATGAGTCAGCAGTGCAGTGGTGCATTTCCATTTGCAGCTGTACCTATACCTTTTGCTAGAACAGGAGCAAGATTTTTTTGACAGGAGATTACTTGAATAATATTATAACAAACACCAAACCATAGTATAATGCAATACATTAACTGTTTTAATTGGCCCCCTACTGTCATCTCTCTCTTCTTATTCTTCTGCCTCCCTGATACACTGGGGACTATTTTCAGATTAAGAACATAATTTAAGATTTCATATTTATTCTTAAATAACTTTTAAGAAAATGTCTATTTACCCTTTCAAATATAATTTAAAAAAAAAATTCCTGAGGACTTCTAAATCAGTACATACTAACAGAAATACACGTGTTGTTAGCCTACACGATAGAACGCTTAAATGGAAAAGAGGAACTTTTTGACTTCTTAGGTAATTGTTTTCACTGTTTATTATATGAGTTGTATTATTATAGAACTGTTCCTCAGAATGCTATTATGCAGTAAACCAGAATTCAATGTATCTATTTACATGGATGGACAGGCAGACAAACAGACAGATACTGTTTTAAGTTATGTTGCTTTCAGAAGACTTAAAAAACCTCTATATAAATAACAATATTATTTATGGATTTAGGGGTTTAAACTTAAACCGGGGAAGTTCAGGTCAGACATAAGGAAGTTCTTTACTGTGAGGGTGGTGAGGCACTGGAACAGGCTGCCCAAGGAAGTGGTAAATTCTCCATCCCTGGCAGTATTCAAGGCCAGGTTGGACAGAACCTTGAGCAATATAGTTTAGTGTGAGCTGTCCCTGCCCATGGCAGGGGGCTGGAACTAGATGATCGTAAGGTGCTTTCCAACCCAAACCATTCTGTGATTCTATGAGTCTAAAAATAATAGCACAGCAATGAAATTATGAATTTGCCCTGTCAGAAATGTTGGAAGTTAACATCTCAAATGAAGTAATCTTCTTTCTTGTTTTTAAAATCAACATCCCAATTTAAATATTATAATTTCTGCTGCCTCTTCCAAAACTCGCTTTACCCATGCATCCACCCATTTATTTGATGACTTCCTATGTATACTTCATTTGCACTTACCAGTCTGAATTGTCAGGAATATAAATAGATATTTAATTCAGTTTATTGAAAAGCTCATACGTTTCAACAGATATAATACCAATAAATTATGCAGTCTAGTTCTAGAGACCTTACAGAGCCAAGCTTTCCTCTATATCCCTTTTCAACCACTAAACAGAACACTGAAGAGAAAAAAAATAGGGTAGTATGATCCTTATTTTAAAGGGATTTGGGATGATTGTGTTGATGTTGTGTTTTTAGGGTTGGTTGTTTTGTTTTTTTTCTTTTTTTATAATTCAGTGTTAACATACATTTTTCAGTTCCAGTATCACTGGAACATTGTTCACACCCCGAATGATTTAGTGACAGAAATGCCTACACAATATTTTCACTGGCAAGTGAAGGAAATGTTTATAGTAACAATATTGCTCCTATGTGCAATAATATACATATTTATTTGCAATAGCTGTGAGGAAGACTTTAATCTTGGTATTGGTGAGATATCTGAGACCTAATTATTTGACTGCTGCATATCTTTCTACCTCTTTATGATTGATAATTTCCTTTTCATCAGCATTCCTCATCCTTACTACTGCCCTACATGTCCCAAGTCCTATTTTCCCTCCTTGCAACCCATTTGTTCATATAGGTTTCAGCTTCACAATGTTTTAAGTATGATTTCTTATGATTGCCAATACTTTTCCAACATTTCTTTCCGTTATCTCCCACACCCGAAAAGGTGACAGGAATGTGGCTGCACTTTACAGTGTGTTGAAAGGTAATGCTGTCATCAGCCTTCTCACCTTGTCTTAGGCTCTCTACGTACTTTCTTCTTCTGAAGACAGACAGAAATTGGACTGGTTTGTATTTTAAAAGTATATGTGTTATGGTTTATTTTTAATATTAACTAAAATATATACAAATATATTTTTTTAAAGTTAATCTTTGGCTTCTGTTCTTAAACTGCTGCAACTTTGAGGCAGTTTATCTGCTCCTACAGAAGTCAGTTGTAAAAGTAATGACAATAAATACTGAAGGAGATTTAGGCCTGTCCAGACTGTTTTCAAAAATCATATCCTAATACATCTATGATATCAAAACTGGGAAATTTTGTCTTAATATCTTATGACATCAACAGAAGTACTAATTCTGTGACTGGATGAAAAATTAATGTCATACTACATATAGCCTTTCAAACAACTTTCCAAAACACCATTGTTATCAAAAAGTTTTGCCCTAAATTGGACTGAAGTCAACTTTACTGTAACAATTTTTTAATGATACAAAAAAATACGTTACAAGCAGCAATGATTTTAAATGTTTGCTGGTTTTGTTTGTGTTTTTTACAGTGATCCAATATGTACTAAATGGACTCAAAATACTAGTTCTACTTTGTGCTCTACAACAATATTTATGCACCTTTTTTCCCTAGTTGAAAACACACTTATTTTAAATTTTTAAAAATCAATGTTAAAGTGACTAAATCAGTTATTAATAATTTTGTGAAAAGGTTTATTGTACAACTTACTAATCTAATCGTAGTGGAGTCTTTTAAAACACTGCTTGAAAAAACAAAAATGTGTAAGTTCCATAGTCATAAATGAACTTTAATTATAATATTTCAAAAATATGACCCATTTTAAATTCCATGCTTTGTGTTACATGAATGTGGTAAAAATAATACCTTCTTATGATAATGAAGGAAACTGCCAACTTTAAACAAAGTCACTTAATTCTTCCATTTCATTCTTCAAACAAGCGTTTATCAATGAATACTTACAGAAATATACAAAACTTTCAGAAATGCAATAAAAAGAATTGAAGCAAGTTTCTATAAATGTCATGGAAAGTGCTGGCAATTTTCAAGTTCTCATTTATTGACTAGGTTGTATTTCTAACTTCTGTTAACAATAATTGAGCATTTTTGCTCAAATCATTATTTGAATAGGAAAGAGCAATGAAGAACTTGGCAAGTAAAACAGACTTTCCCAGTGAAGAAAACTAACTGGTCCTTCAAATGTAAATTCAGAGTTAATTCCTTTAAGGAATCTGTATTAGGTACTGTAAAGGGATGCAGGTGTAGAGAGAAACACGCCATCCACATATGTACACAGTGTACACGTACTTCGCACCTGGAAAACTAAAACTATTGTTTCTGCATAAAGACACAGAAAGTTAATATGCAACATTCATATATTTTGCCTGATGCTACATGAATATAAACATATGAATTTCTCTGACAGAATTTCTCCGTACTCTTACAGAATCACATTGTATATATTCAACTGCTGATGTAACAAATGCTGATCTACTTGCAGACTTTACAAGCACTCTGCTTGAGCAGTGGGCTTGGACAAGATGACTTCCAGGGGTCCCTTCCAACCTCATTCAGTGATTCTAAGATTTGTTGAAAAAAAAACCCCAAGCTAGCACTGCTTTGTGCCTTTCTTCCTTTCCCCTCCTCCTCTGAAGGCATGTGTTAAAGGAAAGATGAAAGATGATTCTACATAACCCTTAACCTTTTACAGTCATTTACATTTTTAAGAAAAAAAAGGAATGATAAAACCCATTTTCCTATGCTCATACAGTAGCACAAGGCAGCTACACTGGAATTTTTGAGAATGAATATGCAAGAATATTATGCATAAGTTTGTCCTTTCTTTCAGGTCAGTCTGAAGCTAAAGTAGGAACTACTCTCAAGCTAAAGTAGTTGAAAATTATGAGCTAAAGAATGAATTTGAAAATATTGGACTGGGTACTGACAGAAAAAATTGTACTCTTGTTTATCATCTTCTTGATCTGCGCTGCTGTACTAAGTCTTAAAAAGGCTGCCCAACCATGATGGTTATTTCTGCTCTGTATATGGACATTGTCTTTGATTTGGAACTTACTTAGAATCAAAGG